CCAAAAAATCCAATAAAAGACAACGAGAAACAAAGAAACATCTAAAAGAATACACCAAAAAATACAATCACAACATTCCTTCTCATTCCACTCGCCATTGCCTCTCTCATGATGTGACTGCACTCTTCCTGTTACTCTCCTTCCCCCAGCCTCTTCACCACACCCATCTTCTTGTCAAAAAGATGAATGAATAAAAAGAAGATACAGTATGTATGAATGAATAATCTTTAAGATTAAATAATTACTTTAAAATTGGCTAACAAAGGCATGGGGCTAACTTTATGATCTCTATCAAGGATAATGGATTTAAAAGAAAATTGATTAACTAACATGACTGTAAAAAAAAAAAAAAAAGACCATATGTACTTTATTTTTTTATAATTTTAAATAATTAGAATTATGCAGTTGCTTTAAAACTGGCTAATAAATGGCATCGGTCTAACTGCTCGATCCCAACCAAGGATAAATTTGCACAATTAATGCACAAAAGAAAATTACCCAAAACTTTTAATTCTTATATAGTAGGCAATTTTAATTTTAATCAAAAGAATAAATTTGCACAATTAAGATACAAAAGAAAATTTATTCCATTTCATTTAGCCACTAAGTCCAGAACACAATGTTTTTCAAAAAAAGAATAATTTATCTAACATAACAACAAATATGTACTAGGCAGATATTAAAAAAAAGGTATCCACATACATCAAATGCGCAACAGTCTATTTCTTTTTTTTTAAAAAAAATTCTTTTATGCATTTCAGGCCCTAGAGATTGGAATGCAAAAGTTTTTAAATTGAATCGAAAAAAATGATAAAGCAAATGAAATGTCAGGGTCTCCGCATAGCTCAAATGCAGCGATCCTACATGAAAAATGGTGCACATTTCCCCCCTCCCCCACTGGCAAAGTTTTGTGACGTTTTGCTTTTTTGACATTATTTCTAGAAATTTGCCAAGCAATAGGTGTGTATGCATGCATCAAAGCAACAAGGGTTCTACATTGTTTTACAATCATCCTAAAACCATAATATAACTTATACAACCATATTATCGCGTGAGGAAAGGTTTGAAGAGAAAACCCAATTTCCTAAATCAAGAATATAGGGTGGCATAAGAGATTTTTTTTTCCCTAAGTATGAATTTGCGGTCAAGATCAACCCACATCATGGATAGGCTAGGCTATTTTGTGCTTCAAATTGTCTTTATTGCTGCACTTGTAAAATTTAATATGAAAAACCTGCTAACCGAAGTAAAGGAATTCCATTTCCAAGCAAGAAATGCTCTAATTGCAAAGACATTAAAAATAAGGAGTATATACCATGACTTCGGCCTGCTCATATTACTGGACTCCTGCGAGTAGTTAAAGCAAATGCAAGCAGTTGTCTGTGCTGTGGTTTTTAACGACAATACATATTCAATAGTGAGTGTGGGGGCTTTCCCTAATAAGATAACTAAAACAGTAATGAATAAGGGTAAATTATAACTTGAACAAAACTAACTAATAAAAGGATAATAGCAGCACCATAGATGCTGTGATTTGGAAAGTTATAAATACTATGATTTTGAAAATCTTAGCAAAAACGTATGTTCAAATTATTACTCTAAAATTTCTCAAATCTTAATAAACCACGTGACTTTCATTTTTATAAGAATGAACTTATCCAAAATCGAGGAATAAGAATAGGATTAGATTAAGAAGTTAACTATAGTTAATTAATTATATCATAACACAATCAGTTGTCGGTGAAATATGTAACTATCAATAGATAATCAACTATATCATAACACAATCAACTGTTGGTAAAAGATGTAACTCTCGAACTTGCCACGTATGTAATACATCAAAATTTTTATAAATTAATAACCTTCGGACCATACAAATTTTATTTAATTTAAAGAGGTATTAATTAATTGATAAATTAATATTTATCGAGTGAATTTAATTCAGAGAAACACTTATTTAATCAACTAAAGTTCTTTGAAAGAAATATGATTAAGAAGATATTGATGAACTTAAGATAATAATCAATGATTTAGCTATCGTAATAAAATGGATGTAAATTACTTATTGGATTATCTAGTTGAAAATAATACAAGTTCAGAGGTCTTAAGTTTAGAACTTGATACGCGAAAGGACGCACTCAAAGCATCAATTACTCTTTATAATTTCTTATTGCAATATGAGAATTCGAACTTTTAAAAGTAGTAAAAAAAATTTTGGGACAAGATTTAGGAAGATTTAAATTTTAAGAAAAAAAAACAACAATAGACTCATATTTAGGAAAATAGATATGTAATTTTACTAAATTACTAATTATGATATGAATGAGACTAAAGGGTTTATAAGGTTTTTTAAAATTTTATTAACTTATTATTTTATTAAAATTATTAATTTAGCTCGTTGTGCCAAGTCGAGACTAGGGGTGGCAATCAAGTTAGTAATGGGTTGTTGGGTTGAGTTGAGACCCATCTGTAAGAGGAAGCCTGTTGACCTGGAACTTGACCCACCACCCATAGTGGGTCAAGATATCTAACCCGAACATGAAATTTTCAGGTTGATTGGTCACCTGAATGACCTAATATGACTTGAAACATAACTCCAATTTATTAATCTACTGCTATAGTTCCTAACAGTACCAATTACATTATCAAGTAATAAAGAATTTGATAAAACAATCCTAGGTTAGATTTGAAGTAAATTAAGACACCATAAAAGTAAAAAATAGTGTAATACACTATCTATCCAAACATAACAACTACAGCTTCACACAAGCCAGACAAATTCAGTAATCGACTGAAATCTGATTTCTTTAGAGGAGGAACATAAGTTCGAAAATTAGAAGGCAGAAGCTATGCTTAAACTCGGAGAGGAATGGCAGTTCTGGTGTTCCACCTTGCTATTGCCCGATGTTTGCTAGTGACAGATGAAGGGCGGCAATAGCATGAGGTACTGGGGGTTTAGAGGAAAATGGTGAAGAAACAATCGAATAAGTGCTTAGCGTTGAGAGGTTAATGACTTAATGCCTTTGAGAAAAAAAGAGTGAGAAAGTCTAGTTAGATAAAATATTTTTTATATTTATTAAATTATTTTTAATTTACAAACGAGTTACCGGCTGAACCCATGGATAACCTGAATTCGATCTGTTTTCCTTTCGGATTCATCAAGTTTGACCCGATTCTAACCCAAACCCGCGAAAGTTCAATCCAAATCTATTAATTTCGTATTAGGTTCGTGTCATGTTTTCAAGTCGTGTTAGAAATTGCTCCCCCTAATCGAGATCAAAAAAATTATTATTCAATAGATGTTATTAATTTATCGAAAATTAATTTATACAGGTTTTACTATATTGCTTTTTTTCCATTTTTCCTTAACTATACGTGCCCTAGTCTACGGAAGCCAGTAATAACTTTTGGTTGGAAATTGTTGATCGTAAGTCATATGAGTTGCTACTTCATTTAATCACCTTTTGCTTGTAAATTGTCATCACATTCATGTTTCTGGATTGGTTGTAGAACATGTACCTTCCATAATTGCACAAAGAAAATCTAGAACAAGCTCAGGCTAGAATGAAGCATTATGCTGATACCAAGAGGTTAGAGATGACATTTGAAGTTGGGGATTGGGTGTTTCTGAAATTACAGCCGTACAGACAGACTATTGTTGCCATTAGGAGGAACATGAAATTGGCTGCAAAATATTATGGTCCTTATCAGATAGTAGAGAAGATTGGGGCTGTTGCCTATAAACTGAAGTTACTGTAGGGCTCTAAAATTCATCCTGTTTTCCATGTGTCATTACTGAAGAAGGTGGGAGAAGGAGTGACTCCTAGTTCTGACTTGCCATAATTAGATGAAGAGGGACAGCTGAAGGTGCAGCCAGTGGTAGTCTTAGACAGGAGGATGGTCAAGCGGAAAAATAGTGCAGCAGTGCAATGGCTAGTTCAGTGGTTCAACTCTACTCCAGCTCATGCTACCTAGGAGGATGCTGACTTCATACGAGCTACATTTCCAGATTTTGAACCTTGAGGACAAGGTGGAATTCAAGAGGGGAGTGATGACACAAAACTAGTTGAATTAACAGAAAAATGCTGAGTTATTATTTAAACTGTGTTGTTTTACTTAGTTAACAGAATTAAGTAGGAATTAGTAGTATATTGTCATTTTCTTTGTAGTTTGTCGCGTTTGGGCTGTTAAGTGGATTTTTCCAGATTTGGTCCACGTTAGCAGTTAGTTACACGTAACTTTTGGCACCAGTATTAGCAGGAGGAGGCTCTGCACTTTTTGTCATTGATTTGCTGATATTGAAACCTATTCCTTGTGAATGAATGGATCAATTCCTTTCTCTGCGAGTTTCCCTCAACTCTTCCTTCATTCTCTGATCATCTCTTTCCTCTCCATTTTGAATGAATTTCAGTGGAGTACCACTGATTGAGCTTGAATTTTGTGACAATGTTATTAATTTATTGAGTATTAATTTATAGAAATTTTATTATATTACTAATTTTCCATTTTTCCTCGACTATACGTGCCCTAGTCTACGGAAGACGGTAATAACTTTTGGTTGGGAATTGTTGATCGTAAGTTATATGAGTTGCTACTTCATTTAATCACCTTTTGCTTGTAAATTGTCATCACATTCATGTTTCTGAATTGGTTGTAGAACGTGTACTTTCCATAATTGCACAAAGCCGATTGTAGTTCTTTATTATCTACTGGTTTTATTTCTCATATGATCTTCGAAACCTCATAACAAAATCATTTGAGTATGTAAAGTTGCATAACTAGCATAGAGAAATTCAATGAAGCAAACTCATGCAATTAGTTAAGAGTTAAGACTAAACAAAGTTGCTATGAAGACCAACTCCAAGTCACACAACCACCAGTCATAACAAGCAACTAGCATGGATTAAGAACGTACGTAACAACCCTATAGATAGGCATAATAAGAACGAAATTCACTAATGCAAAAGGAATAAATTATGCAGCTGTTAGGTTTGCCAAGTTTAGCTGCCTCCAAAGACGTAGAAGTTATCAGTGTAAAGACACAATCGCCACCTTATAATTGATAAAGCTGCTAACTTCAAGTTTGTGTCCTCCTCCAATCTCCCAAAAGTGTTGTTCTGTTTGTTGTAGTACAACACAGAACATTGTGGGACATACTCCAATGGGAGTTCTGAGTCTTCATCCTCAATCCTACTTGTTGTATAAACAATTAAGCCACCATCACCATCTCTATCCCCAAGTGGATGTAACCATTCTTTTTCAATATCAAAACCAGGCAGAGAAATGCTATACTCCTTTGTCCATGATGCTTCAGTAATCTTCTCCTCAAACTCCTTAACATCCATATTTCCACTGCTGAAGGCTCCGCAGCTGGATCCACAAGGCAAAGATGTCCCTTTAATTCAACCACGCTTACAAGATCGCCATCAACCGTGTAAAAACCTTCTGCAGGGGGCGGAGGGATTATTTCGAATTTTTCTTTGTTTAAACCCAAGGAGAGGATATTCTCCTCGTTTTTCCTGACAAAAATTGTCCAATAAAAGACACCATCGACAAAAGTTCCCCATTGATTAATAACTTCATCGATTTTGAAAGGACAGCACTTCTGAGCAATTTTTCTCCATCTACCTTTTTTAGAAGAATTCTTGGTGGAGACATTAGTACTACAAAAACTCAAAATCTCACAACCAGCAATAGGAAGTTGACAACCATCTGTAGAAGAATCAGGCAAGCCAAAGATTAAATGGACAATAATATACTCATTCCTGGTGGGATCGAATCCAACACCCCCTGCCATCCAGTTCGAATTGTCAATATTGGGGGTGACCTCTGGCAAGTCGATGAGTTTTGGAATGTTAGGATTATATATATAAAACATATCTGGACTTGATAACCATATAAAATCTCGGCATTGTAGTGAAAATGATGGAACTATTTCATAAATTTCACGACGATCATCCCGCCCATGTACGAGTGAAGGAAGAGAATGGTCGAACGTGACAACTCCATTCCCATCTATACCGCATATCTTGCAGGAGGTAACACACCCGGTTCCCTCTTTCTCGTGCTTTTGGCTCAAATAAACTAGCACTGGATTTTTCTGGGATTTTTCGTGGTGTAAAGTCCAGAAGATTTCAAGGTTTGACAAGAGGTTGTACCATTGTTTGCATACTAACCTTAACTTGCGAAGCGTCCTGACTCGGAATCTTGACAGAATCTCAGCCAGCAATTCTTCAGGAAGATCAGAAAGCACCGTGCTTTGCTTCCAAGCTTTCTTTGGCGGATCTGCCATCCAAAACTTCTCTTCTCTTCCAAGCTTTCTTGGCTTCCAAGCTTTCAGTTCCCACGCATGCTTGAGGCAACAATCTACTGGCGGAATTCAAGAACAATAGAGGGTTTATTGAACATTGAACTCTGGTATATAAAGTGTAGTATGTATGAATATAATGTGAACAGACTAACGTAGTAAATGGAAAGATCCTAATTGATACGATGTATTCTTTTCCCTTTTCTTCTCCAAACCAGTGGGACAAATGCATTTGGAAAGTGAACTACCTATTGCTTAATACTACTACAAAGTAATAGTCTTTCAAAGCAATAGTCTTTTTTTTAATTGCTTTCAGACGATAAAAAGGTTGTAGTTTATAGAAAGAAATTGTAATGGAGCTTCAGTAGTATTGTAAAAGTTCTTCCCAAAAAAGTTTTGGGTAACCCAAAAATTTGCCTAATTGCTGGAACTCTAGATGTAAGTTGCTGTTTCAGAACAAACGATGCCTTTACCATTGGTTTCATGCATAATTACCAAACCTGCGCTGCAAGAAATCTGGTTGGGATGGCATTTGTGGGGAGGGGGGATTTTTCTCCTGCTGCCATTTACATCATATAATTATTAAATATATCAATTTGGTCTAATTTGGTCTTTAATTAAGGGAAACTTGTCTTTTATCACAAGAAGATATCATATTATTTATCACGTGTTGCATACAGTTTATAGAAAGCCAATGCGTATTGATTTAGATTTCAAATCATATCAAATATCAAAAAATTACTAAAGTGATATTTATGATTTCGCATTATATTTTTGGCTAAGAATTCACAAAAGTAAGGCAAGATATAAAAAATAAATAATGATAGTGGCCTATCCATGAAGGCACCTGCAAGGACTAGTAGAGCGGGACGGCATGGGAGGAGCGAGTGATGGAATAGGGATGAGGGAGTTAATTTACCATAGGACGGGGGTGAGGTCGCAACGGATCTTCTGTCCCACACTCTATGCTACTCTCTGTCCCATTTTTTATTCTATTACTATTTCTCCTACATAAATATCATGTTTTAGTTCTTTTTTGTTTCCTTGAGATCCAATAACTATTAATTGAGTGAAAAATAAATACAACAGCTTAAAAAAAGCAATATATAATAGAAAATTAAAAAATATAGCAGAAAATTCATAAAAAATCTCATTTTTTATGCATTTTAATTTTTTGAATTTGTTAAATTTTGTGTATTACTCAATTACTAGTTATTGGATCTCAAGGAAATAAAAAAGAACTAAAACATGATATTTATGTAGGAGAAATAGCAATATAATAAAAATGGGACAGAGAGTGGCATAGAGTGTGGGACAGAAGATCCGTTGCGGAGGCCGCAACGGATCTTCTGTCCCACACTCTATGCTACTCTCTGTCCCATTTTTTATTCTATTGCTATTTCTCCTACATAAATATCATGTTTTAGTTCTTTTTTGTTTCCTTGAGATCCAATAACTATTAATTGAGTGAAAAATAAATACAACAGCTTAAAAAAAGTAATATATAATAGAAAATTAAAAAATATAGCAGAAAATTCATAAAAAATCTCATTTTTTATGCATTTTAATTTTTTGAATTTGTTAAATTTTGTGTATTACTCAATTACTAGTTATTGGATCTCAAGGAAATAAAAAAGAACTAAAACATGGTATTATGTAGGAGAAATAGCAATATAATAAAAAATGGGACAGAGAGTGGCATAGAGTGTGGGACAGAAGATCCGTTGCGACCTCAATTCATAAAAAATCTCATTTTTTATGCATTTTAATTTTTTGAATTTGTTAAATTTTGTGTATTACTCAATTACTAGTTATTGGATCTCAAGGAAACAAAAAAGAACTAAAAATGATATTTATGTAGGAGAAATAGTAATAGAATAAAAAATGGGACAGAGAGTAGCATAGAGTGTGGGACAGAAGATCCGTTGCGGGGTGAGGTACTCTAGTCTCATACTTACCCTAGTGTTATCCTAATATTAATATTGGAAGGATGGACCACTGGTTCAATTAGGTTAAACTTGCAAATTACTAAAATTAACTTTGATAGATACACGTAATATATTAGTTAACTTAATAAAATGAAGAAGGCAATTTAAGTACATTTGGATACTAATTATGCTATTTATGAATATATGTTATAAACAGATACAAATTAATGACTCGATTACATCTAATCATACTTTGTGAATATAGGTCTTGTTGTGAAATATAAAATAAATTATTTTATTAATGATACAAGAATTTGTTTTTTAAGAAAATAGCATTAATTTTGTAGTATTCAATAATCACCTAAAAACAGAATAGTTCGCCCTCGAAGACACGTTTCCTCTACTTAAAAATCCCTCGTCGTCAGGAGCAGGAGGCGTCAACCGCGGTTTGAGTCCATCCAGAGTTGGCATCAGCACAGACTGACATTGTTGTAATAGCCAATGGAGAGAACAATGCTACAAGAAGTCAAGAATATTTAGAATACATATAAATGGTAGCTTTTGCTAATCAAGTTGTCAATCAATCAATCAATCACATTAAATTACAATCAATTACAGATTATCACAAAATATTTTGCATGTCTTAAGACTAAAATAAATTCTCTTCCTTATCTCTCTCTCTCTCTGGTTAATTAAAGATGCATTAAAATAAAATTGGTGAACAAAGTCTAAAAGTATTATGATTAACTACAGTCATCCGTCACTCTCGAATTCTATGGACTTGTATTCTATGTTTTCAGAACCGGACCGGGTATCGACTTGGTCGAGGTCAGGGGTCAGGGGTCAATGGGTTCAAGCGGGTTCAATCGGAGTTAAACCGGATGACGTCATAAATAAAAATTATTTAAAAATTAAAATATTTTATGTAAAATACCTAATAACATGTTAATATTAATAAAGGTATATTCATATATATTTAACAAGAAAATACAAAGAAATTAGAACAATCAAGTAGCAATTTATGTTATTTAATGAGCATTAACAAGTTTACAATTAAAATTATGGATTTAATTGAAAAATAACACCAAACTTTAAGACAACATTTATAAAGTATGAATATTTGAGATATACTAATAAATTTTAACAGCCTAGGGGTCAAAACATAATATTAAAAACATTTTGACCTTTAAAAAAAAGTAAAAAAAGGGTCAAACCAGGGATTTGACCTAGTTTGACCGAGTTTTGAAATTTTCGCTTTTAAATGTTAGCTCGGACTGGACCATTGGCCAGTTCCTGGTTCGACTGGCTGGTCCGGTCCAAGTTTAAAAACAGAGCTTGTATTTTGGTGGGCTTAACCAAATTGTAGTGGGGAGATAATGCGTGACCAAAAGGTTTTGTCCAGAAGCAGTTGTATCTTATGCGTATATTGCATGTGAATTTCTATTTACTAGTGACGGGTATTTTACATACGTGCAAGCTAAAAAATACTGAATTACACCCGTTCACTGCAAGTATACAGATCAACTAGTAGTTTAGGGTATATATCGGGTCGATCCCACAGGGAAGAGTGAACAATTACCGGTATTACTAAAGCTTCTCTATTATTTAGACTATCAATGAATCATAATAAATTTAACCTACTGAAATTATACAAAATAACAAATGAAAGCTCATTGGGTTGTGGTATCCCTAGCTACTCATGCAAGTGTTATATTTGGATCATTGAGTACTACATCTAGGCTAATTATGATGCAATTTCCTTATGCATTTGAATCCTACTTTCGTAGTGAATCAATTATACTTATAACTAATCCATACCTATTCTCATGGTTATGAAATTAGCTACAAGTTCATTTCTTTAGTGAAATTACATTAAATGAATCACTAAAAACCACATAGGTGCACCTCTACTTTCGTGAGTGTACTCCCTATGTTTAGCACTTCTTGAACTAATGTTAAATCTCAATTTTCATTGCAGAAATAACACCTTAGATAATCACAATTAATGGTACCAGATTAATCATGATTTAAAGAGTCAAAGTGCTAAATAACTTGCTCAAATCATAGCAATCAAATAACCAAATAATAAACACTAACAATTATAGAAAGTTCAACCAAACCCAAGGTATAAACTTTAAAGACACATATTAAATATAAAATCCAGAACTTGTATATTAACTAAATTTGGAATCAAGTACAAAAGATAAAGAGTTGGAAAGGAATGTAACCCATGTCACTTGAGCTCATCACCTTGCCTTCTTCATCTCTATCTTAATCCTAGTCTAGCAATATACAAGAGTGGATGAACTACACTAACTAAACTATCTTACACTAAGGAAATAGAAGAACTACATTTCTGCACTCTTCAAGCTTCTCCCGTATGTTCCTCTTTGGCTCCCAAATGTCTCTGCATATAAGCTACTCAAAGGCTCTCTTTTTCTAAGTCAAATTCCAACTTTTGATTTCCAAATCTAACTTTGTTAGGATAGTCAATAATCAATGTTTTTGACTTGAAAATAAGCCATCTTTTTTTGCCCTTTTGTCTTCTGAGGCATGTGCGCCGAATTCTCTTGCAGATTGTAGCTGGAAAGTAGTTTGAACATAAGAGAATTGACTGAGCAAATTGCAGAATTGCGTCCAGAAAACGCGCCTACACAAAACGCGGTTACAAGTCACGTTTTGTGTACTCGCGTATTCACTTTGGCCTTACTTCATCTGCGATTTTCTCTATCATAAAGGCCGAACTGGCTTTTTTGTAAAACACAAAAGTTGTAGCCCCTTGAGTCACCTTTCCAATGCTTCAAGAATCATCCAAATCTGAGCTTTGTAGCCTGAGATATGATCGAAATACTAAACACTGGTCAGAGCCCTATTTTCCACTTTGGACAGCTGAGTTGAATTTCGGTATTTCAACTTTTGGACTATGAAAACGGCTGAATTGGACTTTAATGTCTTCATACCAAATGTAGATATATCTCTTAGATTCAAAATGGTACCAAGATCACCTTGATCCGATCTGTGTAGCTCCAGATATAGTCAAAATACGAAAATGTGTCT